TTACTAGGTAGTGTGTTATACGCTTTAGTGCATCTGTAAAGAAATGATCTAGTCAGGGCTTTGGTTCTGGGTTTGGGTAGTGTGTAGCCTCCTCTGTGTGACAATCTGGTGTTGTGTTGGTGTGAGATATGAGTGGTACTAACTCTGTCATATGTGCTCTTTGGTTGTTTGACTTTGACAAGTTTGTGGAAGGCACTTAAGGTGGTGGTGTACATTCTTTCCTTGACAGATTGCCACTTGAGCCTAGAGTGTAGATCGTCAGAACTAGTGAGTTGTGTTGAGTTCGCTGCAAGCCTAGCTGCTCGGTTTTGCATACACTGTAGTTTGTCTAGCTGTGTCTGTGTTGTGGAGGAGAGTGTTGTAGAACAGTAATCTAGGTGGGATAGAACAAGGGATTGGATGACAGTTTTAAGTAGATCACCTGGGAAGTAGTCTTTGTATTTCCTTATTGATGCTATAGTGCTTGCCATTTTATTCTTAACCTTCCTAACATGCTGGCCCCAGAACAGGTGCTGGTCAACGGTAAACCCCAGTAGGTCTGCTTGCACCTGAGTGATATGTTTGCCTGCCACGCTGAGGTTTAATTCGGGTTTTTGTTTCAGTTTATGGTGGCTTCCGATGAGGATAGATTTAGTTTTCCCCACATTAAGGACCAGTCTGTTGGTTTCTACCCATCTCCAAATACGTGTGAGTTCAGGTTGTAGGACTTGTAGGACAAGCCGGCAAATGCTGGGTTTTAGCGGAATTTATAAATCGGCACTGACTTCTTGAGCCGTGGACCTTAAGTAGCCTGGGTACCAGGCTCCGAATGGACCTATCACATTATTACGTCACAGTTTGTTTATCGCAATGAATGCCGGTCAATTGACATTTATATTGTACAGGGGTGCGTAATGCGGTGTGTGTTTGTGTAGCGTTAGCCTTAATATAGCTTTTAATACAGTACTACTTCCGTCTAATGTCACAACTAAATCACCCATTACGGCATGTAATGCTGTGTCAACACAACTAGACGCAGCAAAAATCAAACATACCAGACTTTGAAAACTTTGAAATAATCTTTATTCTTTAACTGAACGTTCTAGAATGTTCTTTAGAACAGGTAAACAAACTGTGACGTAATAATGTGATAGGTCAATTGTCTCGGTGGACGTGATCTTTTTTTTTTAGGACAGGCGAAAGAAAAATAATAAATGAAATTAAGACGGTGTGGCCTAGCTGTTTTTGGCGTACATTTGTACCGCTTTGAGATCGTTTTGTCTAGCAGTAACATAGCTCTATGTTTTGTTCTCTACTTAAAGGCACAAATGGTTCAAGCCGCCAGTATCCCCAAGACTAACGTGATAGTGAAGGAGGACATCACGGAGTGGATGGCGCGACTTTTAGACCTGCACGGCTTCACCATTGAGAGGCTCAGTAATGGAACCTTCCGCGTCAGCTGGTGACGTAGGCAGTACACGAGCTCCACAAGTTGTGACGTCATGACAGAGCGGGAGGGACAGCACTAACCGGCACGGGGCATACTAGCCATGAAATCAAAAAGACTGATAGCATATTGAATTATTATATGATACTATTTTTGAAGACCACACATTTCTTTTATGTTAAACCTGTCTTTAGCCACAACATTCAGAACTTTTTTGTCAATTTTGGTGCCATTGCACAAAAGGCACGCTTTAAAAACTACATCGTTTGCCTACGACTTATTTCACCAATAGCAGCTGTGTTATTTTCTTATATTACATAATCAGTGTCTTCTTTGTTAGAAAGTGTAAAAATCTGGCTGGTTTTCTATTTATCAGTCTGCACCTATACGTATGATACTTGCATATATTCAGTCCTGAACAAGCATTCGTTTGCAATTAACGTAATTATATTAATATTATTTGAAGCAATATTCGTATCGTGTTATTCAGCACTGTAGCAATAGTTAGTATCATGTACGCTGCTAAACGTTTTTTCAACACATACAACCAATGTCACCTTCATCAGGATAATTAATGACCATGCAATCACTTTCGAAAGTAATCTCGCGAGAGTTACGTAAGCGTGACCTTATTCACACAAGACCTAACGGACACGTGGATTTTTACTCGCCCAAGGTCTACGCGCAAACAGAAGAAACGAAAGAAAAGACGAAGTTTCAGGGCTCAAAATTCACATTGTCCCTAAATAAGCTGTCAAATTTCTCCGTTATACTAGTTGACCAATCCACATTCAGATCGTCCAAATCTATTAATCAATGAATCAATCAACCAATCAAATAGCCATATGCTGAGCTTGAACGTGGACAAAGTACTCCAACTGCTATTCTTTATTATCATATACCCGGGTGACGTTGACCAATCAGAAGGCTCCATTCCACATTCCTTATGTCGTCGTAATGTCACAAATAGAGTCAAAATCGGGTATTTATTCATCCCAATCCATACATTAAACAACCTAATAATCACCCGCATATGACCTCAGGTGACCCAATAGAACACAGCTCTAGTTCTTAAAAATTCTAAAAATAACTTAAGTTGTGTTCCAATGACCTCGGGTGACTCCCATAAAATCACCTACCGTGTCCTCAGGTGACTCCAGATGGAACAATGTTCTATGGTCTATTCAGCATGTGCAAGGCTTCACTGCATCCGTTTGGATAGGCTATCGTGTAAGCTATATGATAATAGCGTTAATGGCCTCATAAAGCCAAGGCTTTATTCGGTGGTTATAGAAACTGACAAGGCTTTATCACACCGTATTCACCTCGGGGCGGGTCATTAACCCTTAGCCAGGTGGCGTTGACCAATCAGAAGCCCCCATTCCATATTGATTATGACGCCATAATGTCACAGTTAGCATGATACAAGTATTGCCAGGTGTGTTTTATTCTCACAAGTGTGCTTTGTTGCACAATGAAGCACGGCCCGGAGCAAACCATTTGCAGGGGAGATGACTCTTTTTGCTGACATTTGTAGCACGTTTCCTTGTTGAATAGAAATGTTTACCGTCTTGTCATCACCCAATTTTTTAGCAATACATAACAAAATAAAGACCATGTCAATACATGTGAATTTTGAGCGAAAGAAAAGAAAACATATTTTGCGGCACCCCCCTAGTAAGTACATTTCTGTATTGAAACATCCAAATGACCTCAGTTGACTTCAAATGGAAGCTTGTTCTATTCTTTTGGCCATAACGGTTCTGTTCTGAAGTTCCGGTGAACTCAAATGAACTCTGATAGAACAGGTAAAATCATCACACTAAAGGGAATACAATTTTAGACAATGGTGTGTCAGAATTTGTCATAGAAGAACTGATTGAGGCCAATTTAGACTCAATATGTGGGTCCTTGGAATCGAGAAAGATGCACAGGAACAGTGGCCAGCGGACGGGAGGATAGAGGAGTGACTGTAACGGTTTGTTATATAATTTAGATATATGTGTTATACAGGAATGTGTTACTCTCTAATGTGTAAGTTTTGATAGGCTATATGATAATAGCATTAATGGCCCGCCCTTTCTCGGTGAATATGGTGTTCGATGGTCTATTCAGCATGTGCAAGGCTTCACTGCATCAGTTTGGATAGGCTATCGTGTAAGCTATATGATAATAGCGTTAATGGCCTCATAAAGCCAAGGCTTTATTCGGTGGTTATAGCAACTGCCAAGGCTTTATCACACCATATTCACCTCGGGGCGGGTCATTAACCTGTGTTTCCAACCTGCCCTGGTCCCCGAGTGCGTCCACAAATACCGGGGTGTCCGAGTCGACGTCGGCCAGCTTGCATTTTTTCAGTCTGCCCAGTTTTACTGATGGATTTTCCCGCAATTTCCCGCATTTTGAGAGGCAAATCATGGTGTTGAGAGTGTTTGTCGGTCCTTCTGATGTTTTCATATTTTACTCAAGATTTTTTGTTAATTTGCCTGTCAAAGTTGATGGATTATATATTCGTTAAAAAATTCTGTAACTCTCCGCAAACTTCCGGAAATTGAAGGGAAAACTGGTTCTGGCTAGAGCCGAAGGGACCGAGCGCAGAAGCGCGAGTCGAGCGCCAAAGGCGCCAAAGCGCAAATTTAGGCGTAACTGAAGAAATTTGTTTTACTTCTAAAAAGTCCGTCAAGCCCACCCCCACTATTTCTTAATAATTCTGTAATAAAATGAGTTTCCTGTCATAAGCATATTGGGATTATTCTTAGTTCCAATATGTCTTGGCATTTTCATATTGACAGTATTGTTTCTAAAGCCTTCAAAAATGTTAA